GACTTAGCTAGTTTCTCATTCTATTTCTTTTTTTAGTTCCTTTGCTAGTTTCCATTTAGTTGAGAGCGTAATTTGCATTGCTTTTGTGTTCGCGCATAGTTTCCATGCTGAATATTATACAGTTTTGTGCCTCTTCTTTTTCAGCTTTTGCTTCACTCGCTTCGCTTTGCTTATTTTCATTTTGGCGACATTTCAAATTCAGAGAGTGTCAAACGCGTGCATTGACATGGAGGCCACAAGTGCGTCCGCATCCCCCAGCTTATGGTGTTTGTAATCTCAGTTTGTGTGTGTGCGTGCGCGTGTGTGTGCGCGTGTGTGTGTGTGCGGGTTAAGAAATTACACGACAGCCTACAGCGGAGCATCAAGAGCAGTAGCAGCAGTTGTTCTTGTTTGTTTGCATTGCCACTGATTGTTATTTCCATGTTAGGGTGATGAGCCACAATACCCTGTAATTTGACTATATATAAGGGGTTGAATGCAGTGATAAACAGACAAGGATATATGGATATATGTGTGATATGTAGAATCGCTTCTAGCTGCAAATATATCTTTATGTAGATTTCATTATTTTCTAGAGGAAGTTAACAAAGCGATAAAAAATCGATCATTGTAAACAGATACAAATAACTATTACTACCACACAATTTGTTTACAGGGTAGACTTTTACAGAAAACCAATATTTATCGTTAGATATTTTTCATAAGCCACATATTTAAAGGGATACTGAGTGTTACCTCGACATCGAGATCGCTCTGACTTTATCTTTATAAATGCATATATATATATATATATATATATATATATATATATATGTGTGTTTACAGGGCATCTGCTAGTCGAGCACAGGTCTCTAACTAGCTTCACTCATTCGTTGGTGTTGCTGCTGCGGCCGTCATTGTCGCTTTGCCTATGCCCCAAACAAACTGCTCAGTCATTCATGGCATACTTTATCAGCACAGGTGATGTGGGGGACGAAGCGGGGAGGTCCAACGACCACCGCCCACGCCGGCTGTGGTAGGAAATTGTTACAGCTCGCTCGTTTGCCAACGCTGCTGCCCGTTGTCATAATGTGGGCAATCTGCTCTCTATTTTTAGTAGCCAGGCAATTGTGAAGCAGTGCAACGGGCAGACGGCAGCCGGCAGCCGGCAGTCGGCAGCTGTTGCCACATCAATGCGGACCTGGTCGAAACTTCATTTTGGGCCATTTAGGTGCTGCCACACACACACATACACACACAAATCCAAACCGCAAACAGACAATGCCTGTGCGTTGCAATCGACCAGGTGGTGGCTGGGGGCAGTGAGTCAGAGAGTTGGTTAAACGTTGCACAGGACACACCTCTATAGCCACATCTAGTCCTCTCTTCCTGCCTCGCCTGTGTTAATATTTGCTCGACTTAATTAAAAATCTTTTCTAATTTGCATAAAGTTCATGTCAGGGTGTCATTTAATGCGGTTTTTGCGGCTAGCTGTTGACGCTGCCAGTGCATAGATGGCGCTAGTGATTATGAATTTGAGGAGGAATTTATGTAGAAGGCACTAGAAGAATAGAGTGACAGAAGGAGAATGATTGAGAGAGTGGCAGATAGAGGGAGAGATAGAGATGGAGATAGTACGAGATGGAGATAGTACGGTTGGAGATAGTACGACAGTGAGTGATAAAAGTAAAGAGAGAGAGCGAGCGAGAAAACGATCCATTTAGAAAAAAACAGAGATATTTTTAATGGAACTTATACCTAAATGCAATATTAAAAAAAGCTCTTTAGGCGCTTTGTGTTTATACATTTTACAGATACGGATTTTATAGCTGAGTCAATGTTATTCACACTTCAAAGTTTGTTTTCATAAGCCTAAAGCCAAGAAGTTATCCAATTTTAATGCATTTACTGAACTGAACTTGGACTTGAGTTTAGTAAATTTGATCTTTAGATTATGTCACTATACAAAAACGTATTTCTAATTATAAATCCGGAAGTACGCACTATTGTTTAACTCTAAGACTCAGTTATATACATATAAAGCTGATAAAGTTCGAAAGTCCAGAACTGAACAATTTTTAACTCGGTTGATCTAACTAACTTTTGGTAAATCGATGTTGTTCCATCTATACTAAAGTCGTAAGCGTAACACGTAACGTAAAAATCTCTTAAACCTACTACACAAGCTAAATTGAAATCATTTAGAAGAAGAAAGAATTGAAATCAAATAGTTACAAGGCTGAGATTGGGTCTATAGGAAGAAATATTAAATAATAATTTCTTAATTTTTATATAGATTAGTACGTGATTTGATAGAGATAGATGAGTCAACTTCAGATTAAACATAAATTAGCTATAAATAGTTTTGAGCTCTAGCTTATATAGAGCTTAACTAAAGCGAACTATAGATGGCGCTACTTGATCCTTTACGAACTAGCCCTTTGAGACTAAAGAGTTATGTAAGCATAGAGCAGCTGCTCCAATTACATTTGAAACGTGTCGACGCTTTTCTTATTTGAGTAATATATATATGTATATATATATATATATATATATATATATATATATATATAAACATTTCAAGTACAGTATATATACGGCTAGGTGGCGCCACTGTTTGGCGTCATCTTTTGAGTTCTCAAATTTCGAGCTTAACTGCCACTCGGCATGGCCTTTTGTTTGCTTCCACAGCCAGCCACACTAATTAACGAAATGCACTTGCCGCCAGCTCAAATTGAAAAAGAAAATACAAATATAACCGAAGAAAACGAAAAGAGAAAAATGAAGAATATAAACTAAATGAAATAAAGGCGTTGACGTCGCCCACAGCCATTGACAATAATTACAAAGCGAGCTCAGGCAGCCGGAGGAGACTGGCGAAGTGGCCAAAAGGGTTTACAGTTGTGGGCTATTTCCTTTCACAGCTTTAGGCTGCTGTTGTTTTGCTTGTGTTCTTTTGTTACGAAAAAGCTTACTAATTGCAGCAGCATTTCAAGAATCTCTTCCAACTGTAATCCACCAAATCTCGTGGTCAGCTCTTCAGTTACCGGCCCGTGTGCGTTGTGCACGTACTTCAAATGTGCCCAGCTAACGACTGTCCCGGCGAGATTTCAATTAAAGTCCACAAAACACGATTACAGCTTAGCCACGCCCCCGCCAACACCCAAGCCAACCAACCCACCCACCCACTCGCTGCGCCTGGGCATATATGGGCACGTCGCATGCCTTCAATCAGGCGGACTTTTATGACTGCACAGGCACTGGGCCAGGGCTTGGCTGGCGCATGCTTTAATATACGTTTAGTGTGTGTACACTGAAAACAAAAAGGGGCAAGTGTTAGAAAGAGAAAATCAAAGATGCATACTTATATTGTCTCTATATATAATGGATATATATTTATATATATATATAGTATAGAGCATAAAATTAACGGTAAATATATAGATAACATCCATCAGCAAATATTTGACACCAAATTTTCGGAGGGTTCTTCCTCAATCAGCCTCAATCATATAAATATTAATGCAGACTTCGCACAACTAAATTCCTTCAAGTGTATCCAAATATATTTACCTTTTTGCCACGTCCTGGGCGTGTCCTGCGCCTATTAAGCTTAACGAGCACGTGCGCCTGTTACGCGTTTCCCAACACTGTCCGGCGCAATTAAGCAACAACAACAGCAACAATACATGACGACGATGAAAAAAATCCAATAAATGCGAGCAAGAGCAAATCCAACTCTGAGATGCACTTGCTCCATCTACTCCTCCACTGGGAGATCTGTAATAAAGGAAAAATGCCAAAAAAAAAGAAAAAAGAAAAGGATGGAAAATATCTGCGCCATTTAATGAAAAATGTAACAAAGTGAAACGAGGGGCGTTTCGTCAGCAGCAGAGCAACGCACAAGCACAGCTCCCCAGTGACTGACGCCCCCAGCCCCGCTCTCACCTACACAACTTACACATGCAAATGACTGCAATAAAAATGGGAGGCTGGCAACTTTTATGATTGCAATACCCCTGATACAAGAGCGAGTTGGCTAGAGTGAAAGAAGCAGAAATAGCCTGGGAGAGAGGGAGAGGAAATCAGGCAAAAATCAAATGGGTAATGGCAGGTGGAAACACAATGGCTATAAGTCCACCACTTTGATTAATACATTTCTATTGATATACTCATATATAGAATACCAAACGATTTGTTATCAAATTTACAATCAAGCGATTCCAAACCAAGATCTAAGACGGCTTAAAAAAGTAGAAGGACGTAAAATCTTTCTGTGTTTGAATAAGATTTTGTTTTTGACTATAAAAACTATTTTATATCTATTATGAAAAGATAAAATATGATATACAATAAAGGAGCTGATGGGGATCTTCTAAAGATAAACTTGAAGTTGAAGTTGAAATTTGTATAGGAAATTATTTGTACTACAATTTCACACAAATACTAATATATAATAGAAGCTTTAAGCCAAGGCTCATAAATATTGGCTTAAAAATAGAAATTAGATGACCATAAATTTATATATAATATACTAATACAATCATCCAGATTGTATTTGTGTATTGAAGCAACTGAAAATGGGGGGAATTTTGCTTAGAGTGATCTTTTGAAAATGTATGTAACAGGTCAAATTAGGCGTGGTAGAACCTATCCAGTATATATATATTCTTGATGAGGACGACGAGCTTAAACGATCTAGCCATGTTCGTCTACTCATCCGTATGAACGCACCCATCTCGTAAGCCACAAAAGCTAGAGCCTTGACATTTTAAATGTATATTTCTGTATATCGATAACTCATCACGTTTCGCTATTATCGATTATTTGGTTGAAAGCTTTAAACTTACTGCGGAGAGTTCAGTTTGTCTTCTTTTATCTAACTTGTTTACTATATAATTTAAGAGTTATTAGGCTCAACTTTAATTTTGCATTACTTGGTATTTCTGCCGTCATCCAATGGAATTTTTATTGCTTTCCCTTGCTAAACTGAAATTTCCCTTCTCCCACACTCTTTACAGGCGCTCACAAAATTCCAAACGTCACAGAAGGTCACAAACAAGACCGGCATCGAGCAGGAGGAGACGCTGCTCAATGAGTCAGCCGCTCGTGAAACTTCGCTCAATTTGCAAATACTCGATCTGGAGAATGAGAGCAAGCAGCTGCGTCATGAGCTGGAACGTGTGCGCAACGAGCGAGATCGCATGCTGCAGGAGAACTCGGACATTGGACGCGATAAAAGCGACAATGAGGCGGAACGATTGAGACTCAAATCTGAACTGAAGGATTTGAAATTTCGTGAGACGCGCATGCTCAGCGAATACTCAGAACTGGAGGAGGAGAACATATCGTTGCAGAAGCAGGTGTCCAGCTTAAGAAGCTCGCAGGTGAGTGACTTAATTGAAAATCCTCTTAGCTTTGATTAACAGTTGTTATACGTTGCCCTTAAGGTGGAATTCGAGGGAGCCAAACATGAGATACGTCGCTTAACCGAGGAGGTGGAGCTGCTCAATCAGCAGGTCGATGAGCTGGCGAATCTCAAAAAGATTGCCGAGAAGCAAATGGAGGAAGCGCTCGAAGCCCTGCAGGTGTGTAGTTAAATTACCTATACAAATCTTAAGTTTCCCTTGATTAACTATTTCAAACTTTCTCTCAGGGCGAGCGCGAGGCCAAATATGCGCTGAAAAAAGAGCTGGATGGTCATCTGAATCGCGAGTCCATGTTTCACATTAGCAATTTGGCTTATAGCATACGCAGCAATATGGAGGACAATGCCAGCAATAATTCCGATGGCGAGGAGGAGAATCTGGCGCTCAAACGTCTCGAGGCGGACTTGAGCACAGAACTCAAATCGCCCGATGGCACTAAATGTGATCTCTTCTCCGAGATTCATCTTAACGAGCTAAAGAAACTGGAGAAACAGCTGGAGAGCATGGAGAATGAGAAAACGCATCTGACGACGAATTTGCGTGAGGCGCAGAGCAGTCTGGACAAATCGCAAAATGAGTTGCAAAACTTTATGTCACGCCTCGCATTGCTGGCCGCCCATGTGGATGCGCTGGTGCAGCTAAAGAAACAAATCGATGTCAAGGATCAGATCAGACAGACAAAGGAGGATGAGGAGCAGCTGCAGCAGCAGCTGCGTACCTTAATCTCTCAATATGCCAATTGGTTTACGCTCTCGGCCAAGGAAATAGACGGCCTCAAGACTGATATAGCTGAGCTGCAGAAGGGTCTGAATTACACAGATGCCACCACCACGTTGCGCAACGAGGTGACCAATCTGAAGAACAAACTGCTATCCACCGAGCAAAAGTCGCTGGATCTGCAGAGCGATGTGCAGACTCTGACGCACATCTCGCAGAATGCTGGACAGAGCTTGGGTTCGGCTCGCAGCACTTTGGTCGCACTCAGCGATGATTTGGCTCAGCTTTATCATCTGGTCTGCACCGTGAATGGAGAGACGCCGTCACGTGTGCTGCTGGATCACAAGACCGATGACATGAGGTAAATAGAAATGTTTTATATTTAACTCAAACGTTTTTATATTAACTTTTCATTCCTTGCAGCTTCGAGAACGATTCTTTGACTGCCATCCAGTCGCAATTCAAATCGGACGTCTTCACAGCACGCCCGCAAATTGTTGAAGATCTGCAGGGTCTTGCCGATTCAGTGGAGATTAAGAAGTATGTGGACACTGTCAGCGATCAGATTAAGCATCTGAAGACCGCCGTTGAGCACACCATTGATCTAAACAAGCACAAAGTGCGCTCCGAGAGCGGAGAATGTAAGCAAACCCAATTCACATCAGGGAAAGACCTCGCTAAAACACAATTCCTCTCTTTTTACAGCTTCGGATAAGAGCAACTCCGAAGAGGTGGAAGAGCTACAGGAGCAAATTGTGAAGCTGAAGAGCTTGTTGTCTGTGAAGCGTGAGCAAATCATAACATTACGCAACGTGCTCAAGTCCAATAAACAGACCGCTGAGGTGGCGCTCACAAATCTCAAATCCAAATATGAGAACGAGAAGATCATTGTCAGCGATACGATGTCCAAGCTGCGCAATGAGCTGCGACTGCTCAAGGAAGATGCAGCCACCTTCTCCAGTAAGACAAGTGTAGCCAGCATAGCAAGATTATAGAAGTAATGCATGTTCTCTCTCTTCATTTAGGCCTGCGCGCCATGTTCGCTGCACGCTGCGAGGAGTATGTAACTCAGGTCGATGACTTGAATCGTCAGCTGGAAGCTGCAGAGGAGGAGAAGAAAACGCTCAATCAGCTATTGCGCTTGGCGGTGCAACAAAAGCTGGCGCTTACACAGCGTTTGGAGGAAATGGAAATGGATCGGTGGGTGCATTTGGGTCGCTAAACAAGAAGCACAAGAGCAGAAAAACCTTTGCCAAAAATTCAAATAAGCAAATGTCTCTAGTTATGAAACCCTTATACAAATAAATATCCTTCATTTGGTAAGCATTGGAGCAAAAGAATGTTTGCATGCGCGAAATGCTGTTGCTGCTGCTGCTGCTGCTGCTTCTGGATAACGAAAGCCTAAACCAAAGCAAGAATTGAAAGAAACTTTTAAATAATCTACCAAATAATAATAATATATTGTAGTTACTAATTATTGGTATAAAACCCTGCTGCCAAACTAATACATTTCCCAAAATGTCTTCTCAAGCTCTTAATTAATCATTGTCTTCTCTCCATTTGCCAACAGTGAGATGCGACATGTGCGTCGTCCAATGCCGCCGCAGCGCGGCACCAGCGGCAAATCCTCATTCAACACACGTCCATCCAGCAGAAATCCGGCGAGCAGCAATGCGAATCCATTCTAACATAAGATCAGCGTGCAGCGTAAGCTTTTGGCCTTGGTTTATACTTTGCTTAAGTTGTAAATTCGTTGGGAGTAGCAGACGAATCATTCACACACGCCCAGACACACCCATGGAATACTTTAAATGTATTTGTGAAGGATGCTATAGCTATTTGTTCTATCCTATATTTAATGATATATAACTATATTCAATTTGTATCTGTTTCTATTTGTATTTATTGAGCGTTTAGTTAGACAAAAAAAAAAAAAAACAAGTAAAGAAAACAAAACAGTTATTAACGGTTAGTTACTTAAACGTCCAATTAATTTAATTAACAACTTTATGAAATTGAAAAACATAAACTAAATAATTGTATTTTTCTATATATACAAAAAAAGATCAACAAATGTATTTGTTTCGATTTAAGTTGCGTTTTGTTAACTTTTTCGCGTTGATTGTATTTGAATTTTGATTTTTGTTATCAACGCTGTGCGCAAAAAGCGAAAGAGAGAAAAAATGTTTTGAAATGATCAAAAAAAGTTTAACATATATATTTATATATATATATATATATGTAATTGGCAAGCATGTATTAATTGGCCTGACTATAAAAAGTATTTTTCAAAAAACAAGAAAACAAAATGGGAAAGTATTTCCAGAAAACTGTACGTAAAACTAACAACCAGATAACGTTTGTTTAAGTGGCAGCTAAAGCCAAAAGCAGAAATGTTTAAACAAAATATATGTAAATTCATTATACTATATTTATATAAAAGAAGAGAAATATTTGGCAAGCAACTGTTGTGCGATTTCTATCCGCCATGGCAGTGGCGTCTTAAAGACGGAACATTTTGAAAAATTGTAGTAAATTTAACTATTTTCTGTTTGCAATCAAAATATTTACATAAAAAAAACCAAGTTTTTTTGTTGCAGCAATAGTCTATAATTTGTGCATTATTTAATTTAATAAAAAATAAATAAATTAAAATGAAAGAAAAATTTATTTAGCCACAATATTATTTTTATTTTAAAACACCGCCTTTAAAATAGAATACTCTATTTACCACTAACAAGCAGCTTAACCAACTTAAAATAGCAAAAAAAAAATAAAAACAAAAAAAAACGTTAAAGTTTAAACTAACAATTATTATTATCCTTATATTATAGTAGCTAATTAATTAAATACACAAAAAGTAGAAGTTCTGAACACAGCCAAGTCTTAAAATAATTAATTAAAAATATCAAGTTTTTGTTTCAAAACTGTTTCGTTGGGAAAAATGTGTAAGAATATCAAATTGAAATATACATTGAGCGTATATTATGTAAATTTACCGAGCCATTAAATTGAATTTATATTTAAGACACACATGCATACACTCACACATACATCGTCCACACACTCACATACACTGAGATTAACTGAATTTATTCAGTTGCCTATAGAAATTATTTACGATGAAATTTGTAGAAAACAAAACAACTGATGAATACATAAATTTCAAAATGATTTTATTGTAATTTTACCGTCCCTTTTTGCAAAAAGAAAAACAAAACAAAAAGAAATATTAAAATGAAAAAATGGAACAAAGTCTATTTATTGAACACACACTGAACCAAACAACAACATCATAAACAACAACAACAAATACAACTTTAAGTTTCATCCAAAACATGCATCCATATATGTATATATATATACATATACATACATTATCAATCGACCCAACAAGCCAAAATATTGATAGCCAACAAAATAAAAAACTAACTTATAAATAACACTCAAGAACTATTTCAATTAACATAGAACAAAATAATAGTTTTCTATTTAAAAAATAAACTTAAAAAGTAAAAGCAATTGAATTTAAGAATTGATAAACATTTAAAAATAAGTTTTACGATAAATGAATAAAGAAGCCCCACCAAGGGGCTTCAGTGGACATACATACATATGAGCATTGCCAACATACAATGGAATAAAAAAAAAAACAAGAAATTAACATAAATTATACATATGTGAAGAAATAAACAAATTAGCAAATAAACAAACCAAATCTTTTATTTATTTTTCTAAAATGTTTTATAGCTGGGAAAGGCGAAACTGCTTACTTGAATTTATGAGATGCGCGAAGAAAGGCTATTTTTCGTGCAGATCGTGCAAAATTATACGTGCGTGACTACATTTGAGGCACGCGCTCACCTCTAGTATTTAATATTGAATAAATCAACAGATTGTTATTAAACAAAAAACGTCGACAGCTCTTTTCTTCACACTTTCATAAAGAAAAAAATATGAGATGTATAGATTGCATTATCTGCTCAGTCGTATAAATAATTGAGTACATATTTGAATACTTACTTCAACTAATTAGCACGTCAATTAAAGTCGACCTACATACATTATATATATATGTATATGGGTGATCTTCAAAGTCAACTCTCGGCACGTGCCATATGCCGCCACAGAGCATTCACGGAATATAACTTCGAACGCACTTGAATTAATTAATTTATTTATTTACAATCAAATCGAACTCTTAATGTGAAAGTGAATGACTCCATCAAGCACGTTATCGATACCGATTCCAATCACTGGCGATGTCCAAGTCACGCGCCATCGTCACGCGGCGAGCAAAACTACCGATATTTTAGCCAGGCGAACAGCAATCGCTAGATGCACGACGATGCTCTATCGAACAGTCGACAACAAACCAATACTCGCCTACTGCCGTCAGGCCCACTCACTCACACATGGAAAGAGATAATAACAGACACACTCACACACACACTCATACAGTTGCGCACATGCAGAAACGAAAATTCATGCTGAGTCAGTGCCTTCCTTTGCCTTCTGCTGCCGCTGCTTTGGTTGGTGGTTGGTCGCTGCGCTGTTTCTATACGAAAAATCAGCAGCGTATGCAAAGGGGATGTGCGCAACAGCAGACGTAAGCAATTGTAGTATATATTAAATAAATAAATTATTCAACATGTTCAATATATAAATTATATAAGTGCAGTTATTTAAAACCATATAACTTTTTAATTTTCTTATGTGTCGCAGTTGATAAAATACATTTTACCTTGTTCTGCTACTTCGGTATTCGTTAACACGCAAAGTTAAGAACCCCTTTAGAAAAACTCCCGACTACGTGCCTGGCAATATCGCTTTATTGGTTGGTGAGCCGTCGCCCAGTGGAACTTCGAAAATTTTGTGTTGTCGAATTGCACAAACCGAACATCAGGCGCGCAGAAATTGTGACAGGTGCTCGCCATGATATAGTTGGATGGCAACTCTTATTGGCTGCCGTCTCAGCTGCTGTTGCTTGGCGCGTTCAGCGCTTACACGCGCACACACGCTCGCACAGCCGTGTATGTGTGTGTGTTGCTGTATTGTTTTTAAATGATAGCGGCCGGGCAGTCAGCTGTTACTGTTACTGTGACTGGTGCGACAGGCGCAGACCAACCAGAAATGCTTTAAAGAGGGATAAAGACCGGCCCAATGGCCAGTAATCAGCTCAACAAACTGGCCCGCACATCGATACGGCTGGGCAATTGCAATACTTCTTCTACTTTACTTGACCCTACCCACCACAACTTGCTTAAGTATTAGCTGCAATTTAATGTAATTTGTTGGTAACCATTTGTATTCGTCTCAAATTACATGTTGTGGGTGGAGTTGACTGTCAGATCGCACTTAACATTGTTCCATTGGCCTAAATTTGAGATGCAGGCCAACCAAATGCGAGTCGCGACAATTTAAAAACACAGCAGCAATTTCTTTAATATGTACATATATTTACATATATGTATGTATGCTCGTAAGTATGGAACATATGTGTGTGCATAGTATGTGATTAAATTAGAGCGGAGACACTTAGGTAATTTCTATCGAACTGTTTACATATATATTATTATCGTGCGATCATCGCTGGTATTTAAAGCTATATTTGAGCTTTTTATAAAATGAATAACATTGTAAATATCTTTATAAATGAGGCCTGTCAATACGCTGGCTGCTTAATTTATTTATCAATAATATGCTAAAAATAAGCTAATTAACATAAACAGATATCGATACCCATGGAGATAAAAATCGCGGTGTTGCCGTAGAGTGTTTAAAAATTGTATTTATGTGAATTCAGTTACACACATATGTATGCATATATGCAAAGCGAATGCTTTTAATAATTAATGTGTCCTATACACAAAAACTGCAATAGTTGCATGACCTTCACAGATCGCCCTAGCTCCTATACCTGCTGCAGTACTTGGATGTGTTTGCGTGTGTGCATGTGCATATTTCCGTTTGCCAATTATGTGGGTGGAGTTGAAAATCATATCGCATTGGCCATTACTGTAGCCCCTTTTACCTGCACAGCCTATGCGATGCTGTTGATAGGGCACACCAAGGCCTATTGGCATTTCGGTTTTTGTAATTGGCTTTTTGTCTCTGTCCCAATAAGGGCAATTGGCAAGAAGCTGAGGTAGCCAACATAACAAGTTGCCACGCTTGCAACAAGTGGGCGCCACATTTACGCTGCACGCTACGAACCACCAAGCAACACGGCTAGCATAATGCAACGTGTGCGACGACACACACATACACACACATTCACCGGCTGCCATACACTATCTCATGCGAGTTGCGAGCGTATTTTTTTCTGCTCTTTGTTTTCGAACAATGACAGTAAATTTGTGTAGTGCGATTTGTTGTATCGCGCGTCATTTAACAGGCACGCAGAAATTTCAGCCAGCTTCTTTCCATGCATTTTCAACGCGTTGCAGAGCAGTACAGCTAGTGTGTGTATTGCAATCGCTGTGAATGCTAGACCGAGCTGACACTAGTAACATGCGAGCTTGCAGCGTGGTTTGTGTCCTTGCTAAACAGCAGAGCTTTGAAAGCTGCAAGAAAACAATTCCTAAAAATGACCTAAATTAATATTTATATTTGCCTTCAAGTTGGGCCACACAAAGAGAGGTCACACAAATTGACAGCTGCAAATATTTAACACATTTTCAAATGAAACTCAACAAAAAATGGAATGCTTAAAGTGTCTTAGCACATGTGCTAAGGTCGCCCTCTCTCTCTCTGTCTCGCGGTCTGCATGCCTCTTGCGCAGCAATCAGAAGCGCCTGTTGCCGAGGGCAGCTCCAATTGGACTCGTGCTTAGATTAATTATCTCTTAATTAAAAGTTATGTAAGCGCTAAAAACGAGCTCATGGAAATGCTTAGCTTACA